GGGAGATGACCAGGATCCATCCTTACAGGATCTTGCTTGCGGTAAGGTCAGGCAGGTTTGTAGGCATCTGGCTCCCACTACCTCTGGTGACCTGTTTGTAGCCAATCTGGATGCCAGCTGTGAAATGTGACTTTGAATTCAGGAACTGTGCTGTGAATGTGGCTTCCACATTCACCAAAGAAGAGTGTTACCAGGCAAAGTTTGCTTTCCAAAAGCATGGAGGTTCCTAAATTCTGCCAGGTTGACTTTAAAAAAAAAAAAACCCCACACCTGTGCATAGCTCCCTGTGGCTATACTGAAACCCCTGCTTTCACAGTTACTCGTTGGCCATGTTCACACCTCTGTGTTTGCTTTTACAAACATTCATGTGTTTGAGTTTTACTATCATAAATGCCAGAAAAGCAATTACGACAATGTATACACTCATGGTTCACCTCACCGTAAACCAGAAACGATGCCACCCCAACTAAGAGCAACCAAAAGTCCTAAAAGAAGCAGTCTGTGTGAAAAACATCACCAGAAATCTGGAAAGAAAAAGAAAAAGAAAAAGAAAAAGAAAAAAAAATCGCATTCATAAATGTTCCACAGCCAGAAAAATGGGAATTACTCTCTTGGCTGTAAAAATCCAGAGGCAGGAACAATTTCCTTCCTCTGGTAAGGATATCTGAAAGTGTTTCCATGGAGCAAGCTGTATGTCATGCACACAGAGATAAGACTTCTGCCTGATGCTTGGGGAGAATATGCACATAGCTATGGGGTTATGCACACTGCTGAAGATACACAAGCAGAGATGCTTGCCAACTCCAAAAGTCTCAGAATAAGAGAAAACAAACAAATGCCTCTCTTCTTCTCAGATTCCTTTGCAGGAAATGAACCACCCTACAGATAAAACACCCCAATTACCTTAACAACCAAAACTGTCTTCTGGAGAATGGAGAAAGCAAGCAACTAGAACAAATTAGAATCAGGTTGGATCCAGCTTCTCTACTTATAACTAGTATTTAAACGTGTCTTTCAGGTCATTAAAACTTCCTCAGGAACCAACACACCTTATCAGACATTAAGATTTTAGCAGGTCAATTAAAAAGATCTTGTCAGTGAAGAAGGGCTCTTTCAAACTGAAGGGAGAGGTTTCGGGAGGCATTTCAATTCTCCCCTTCTCTTAGTACACGGGAGCTCAGACATGCCATTGGCCATAGCACAGTGAGCCCTCCTTAAAGGCTCCAGAGGATTAATTTCTTCCTTAATTCTAGTGAGCATCCAGTGATGGTATTTACATCTCTTCAATAAGGCAGCACATAAAACCTGACACCCTAATTTGGAATAGAAAAAGCCACAAAATATTAAAAAGGGAGTGCTCCGTGAAGGCGTAACACCTGTCATACAAATCTCCACACAGGATCAAGCCTTCGGGGCTTATTCTTAACTGAACATGCAAAACTTCCCATCGACTTTGGCTGTCCAAAGCCTTCACATAAAGAATGGGATCCACCTCTGCCACTTCTTAGAAAGTCAATCTGGAGGCCCCGTCTCAAATGCTACGGATCATTTTCTCCCACTGCCTGTATTTGAGACGATTACGTCTTCTTGCTCTGTCACATGTCTCTGTTCCCGACAGCTTCTCAGACCTTTTTTATACTCATCTGGGCTTCTGGGAAGTGCAGTGCTCCTAACTAGTTTGCAATATACTGCTGCAAGCCCTTTATTAGAGGCACACATGGCCTCTGTTATGATGAAAAATGCTTCTTTTTAAATGCGCACGTATACTGCTCTATCATCACTCGGTGATAGAGCCCACAAATCTTCAGCTTTGCCCTTCTACAGATTATGAAATGAAAGAGAGGAAAGAAAAAAAAAAAAAACAAGAGAGAGACATTCTCCGCTAGTCAGGAAGGGAACAACAGTGGGAACTGGATTCAAGAAAAATATACCCACAGATGGATCTTTGCAAAACAAGAACACAGAGGGATCTATCTGGGCTTTCTTTTGTTTTGGTTTGGTTTTTAAGTACTTTTGTTGTTGTTGTTTCCAGGAGGTCCTTTAAATGATCATGGCTGTAGTTCAATTCTTAGGTCTTGAAATGAGTAAAAGTTCTCTTTTGGATGAGAAGCATTTGCACAGAACACAGCTCAGAAGAATGGCCACTGTCTCACACAGTCCAAAAAAGCAAAGAATAGCACACTAGGGGAGGGATTTCTGACACAGCGTATGCCACAATTATTCAGCTTTATAGGTTGTTACCCCTACACATGCTTCAGAGTTCAAAATCACTCCTCTCTTCCCAACACCTCAGTTACTAACACTGCGTTCGTGCACATTCTTCTTAACTGCCCCGTTCTCAGCCAACAACCCTTTCAAATCCATCCCCCTGCTCCTTCAGCCTTCCTCTGGGGAACTGCCAAGCCTACAGACAACACTTTGCGCTCTTCCTTTGCGATTTGGAGCCACTACCAAGCAGTTCCTGTACTTTACGGGCACTTTTAGGACAGGACGGATGACAATTTTTCTTACCACCTACCATTTGGGCCCCTCAATACAAGTTTGGGCCCCTCAATACAAGAAAGACACTGAGGTGCTGCAGTGTGTCCAGAGAAGGGCAATAAGGCTGGGGAAGGGTCTGGAGCACAGGCCTTATGAGGAGCGGCTGAGGGAACTGGGGTTGTTTAGTCTGGAGAAGAGGAGGCTGAGGGGAGACCTTATCGCTCTCTACAACTACCTGAAAGGAGGGTGTAGTGAGGTGGGTGTTGGTCTCTTCTCCCAAGTAGTTAGTGATAGGACGAGAGGAAATGGGCTCAAGCTGCGCCAGGGGAGGTTTAGATTGGATATTAGGAAAAATTTCTTCATGGAAAGGGTAGTCAAGCATTGGAACAGGCTGCCCAGAGAGGTGGTGGGGTCACCATACCTGGAAGTGTTCAAAAAACGGGTAGATGTGGCACTTGGGGACATGGTTTAGTCTAGTCTACCCTTGATTGGTTTAGTGTGGACTTGGTAGTGTAGGTTAATGGTTGGACTGATGATCTTAAAGGTCTTTTCCAACCTAAATGATTCTATGATTCTATGATTAGACAGTCAGGTAGCTAAAGGAGTTGTCCCCGCTGATGGAGCATAACGGGAGCCCATGGCCAGTAGCTCTGCATCCTATTTACCAGCTTCCAGCCTCAGGCCTTGTGACAACAAACTGGCACTGATCAGAGCTGGGACCTGTTTCCCTTAGAGACCCAAGTCCACCCTGTGGCACCTTGTTGCAGGTAGCCTACAGTTATTTCAAGGGTGACCGAGGCACACTTATTTTTATAATTCGATAGCCCTTGCTTTGATGTCACATCAGTGTTTTCTGCTAACTCTGTGCCTGTGCTACGTTGACTCTGGAAGTACAAGACCTCTTATTGATGGACCCAACCCAAACGGGTTGCCTGTAATGAGAGGGAGCTTCCAAGCACACATGGAAAAGCCTGTGAGCTTGCTAGCCAGCGCACATGGCAGAGCATACTGCCAAGTCACAGCAAAATGCGGGCAGAAGCACAATAAAAAGCTCACCTGCCTCCCTTCTCTCCCTTGTTGTGATGCTCGACTCCACCCTGAACTTGTCCCCAGTGGATGTCCTGCCTCTGATGGCAGTAGGAGCATAATTTGAACACTTGTGTTGACCTGGGCGCTACCTTATGAAAGGTAAAAAACCTGATTTCTGAAGTCACCTGTTCCTCTGCAAGAGAGATTAAAACCAAACGTGTTTAAGCTTTGCACAGCATCCTCCTCTACTGCAGTACAAAGGGCTGGCCAAGAGAGGTGTAAGGTCAGGGTCACAGCAGCCTTCCCCCATCACAGTCTCTCTCCCGCAAGCTTAGCCTTGTGGCACAAGTGAGCGATTCCCCTACGGCAGTTCCTTTACCCTTTCCCACAAGGAGGGCTACTCACATGGCCATGCTGATCCAGTTCGTTGTTGGTGAGTTTGACTTTTTCAAAGGACACCATCTGCTTCAGCAGTTGCTCTCCTGTGAACGGGGAGTCAGGGTGCACGTACAACCTAAAAAACACAGGGAAAAGGCCTGCTCGTAAAAAAATCTCAGCTCTTGGCTTGTGCATGGGCACCACTTCCATATGAAAGGGGAAAAAAAAAAAGCCCATAATATCTTGCATTTGGGATACACAGTGGTTTCATGGACGTGGATTTCCTGAGAGCTTGTGGTAATACAGAGCTGGTACTCAAACAAGACACACACAATCTCCCCCAAATTAATGAACATCTGAAATACGACCATTAATGAAAGACAGTAAAGCAGATGACTTGAGTTGTTTAGTTCACTGGAACATAGCGAAGATCCCATGTCCAAGTGCTAGTTTGCTCTCTAACCATACCTATTATTTTATCTAGTTATCTGAAATGGAGACATTAACTAACGTTTGCTGTTGTGTCTTTTCCCGAATGAAAAATTGATCATGTCTTTCCCCACAGCTGTACTAACAAGCACTTAAAATAAAAATGACTACAGCTCCGAGAGAAAAAACATGGTGTCATTAGAGAGATAATGGGGGAATGTAGATAAAAATGCATTTTTCTTTATATGTAACATTAAGCCGTGATAATGATTTTAACCTGCACTCGATCACACGTTAGCTGTGGTGACGTCTGTTTATAAGAGGTTGAAGGCTGCAGTCCAGCACAGTGGTCTGACATGAAAAAATTAATTGCAGCTCTGTAATTAACAATCCACCACTTGGGAAATTAAGCAGAAGAAAAGGAAGCACAGAAGACATGTAGATACAATGATATATACATTATGACTAGACTAATTACAAGTGCCAGGCTGTATAAAAACAATGATTTTATAGGAATAATGTATTGCTGGAAATTATTTAACTCAAACGTTCTTTTGTGATAGTGAATTAAGAGCTGAACTAGAGCTTCAGCTAGTGCAAACCAGACCTGTTCTGCTTCTGTCGGTGTTTGTTATCACTCACTGAGAGCCTGACTCTCATTTTGGGCGATGTCTTTGGCCACGCGGGTGGATTTCTTCCATTAGACAGGTGGGGTGGCACTGAGATGCCAGGTTAGAAAGATAAACATTTTTTGTTGTTGTTGAGCTATGATTTTGGTTAGGCAGGAGAACGGAAAAAACACTAAACGATGGGGCATAACTCTCTGATAGACTATGCTAATCCCTAATCAAGGAATGCCCGTACTAGACTCCAGGGAGCACAGCTCTATTGCTCAAAGAGGAAGGAGATTTGATCCTGCACTCTCTATTTTTGCCAGCAGAATCCCCAAGACATAGTAAAACTAAAGTTTTACCAGCACAGCTCACTTCAGATGTGCAGGATGTTTTCCTTACGTTGATCCAAAGCACAGCTTGGCTGGTATAGCTATGTCCACAGGAGGGATGCTGAGCCGGGGTTCCTGTTGCAGTAGAATATTCCTAGCCTACAGGCGTCCTCACTGCTATCGACTCTGCCGATTGCACTGCAAGGCTCATGAAAAATTATGATGTGTCTGAAAACCCAAGACCTGGAATCCTGTTATGTCAAAAGAATTTTACCTCTCATGAAAATTAACTTTGCCTTCCTGTAAAAAACTGTGAAAATCTCAGTCTTTAGAGCCCTGACTTACAGAAGGAAAAACAGACTCCCAACCATGTCCTGCAACTTTTCAGGCGGTCTTATGATTTTTTTTTTTTTTTTTTTTTTTGACCCTGACTCCTGATTTTGAATGTCTGGATAGCTAATAATGTTTACTGTGATCACAGAGCATCAGGCTCAGCAAGGTTTGGCTAATTGGGACCAAAAAGCCAAACTATTTCAAATATGTGCTGGGGAATGAGTAAAGATCTTCATGTGTCTGAAAACTGAGCACAATTGTTTTACACCATAGCCGGTTAATGCTTGGCACTGCTTTCAAACTACAAAGTGCCTGGATGTTAGCTGAGTGCTAATGGGAAAGTCACTGAAGGATGGGCACCTGAATATCAGTTACATAAACATGTTATTAGACCTTGCTTTTCTCTACTGGTTTGCTACATGCTGTCGATCCCACTGCAACATGTGGTTCCACCTGGTGAACTACACCTATACATACATTTCTCCTACAGCCTGAGCTTGTACACTCGGGAGAAGAGGGTTGAAAACTAGACTATATCACCCTCTGAAGTAGAAGTCGATGAGTCCACGACCATGCACGAGCAAACGGGTTAGAGAAATAAACGTGAACATTCCAGCACGGCACACGAGGCTCCCCCAGAAGTTCGCACAGGCTCTGCTGCCTACGGCCAGCCAGATGCAAGGGGCTGCTCGCTTCAATTCACAAAGGCTTTAAGAGCCATATTTGGATGTGAATTTGCTCCACAGTATATAATGTTTCATGATATATGCAAGGTTTGGGTACTGCTTCCTTTTTCTATATTTTGGAATGTGACAAGCCTCTCCTATTTAGTTTAACAGTTGGTCTGGTCCTACAAGCCCTGTGCATTCTGCTTTTAATTACCTTAATGTCTCAATCTGCAAAATATAATACCTTTTAAAGGTTTCCTACCTAGACTTCTCTGTAAGTGTGTAAACACTATAACTTAATTAAGCAAATGATTGTAGCCAAATAGACTTTAAAAAAAAAAACAAAACAAAAACACCAACCAAAAAAACCCAGACTTTTGAGGGAAAGAATGGAGGTGAAAAGGGAAGAAGAGTGAATAAGGTACATGCTGAAACTTATTAAACTGCTTCAGTTTAGCAATTTGTCTTAGCAATTTGGAAGAACAAACATAAAATATCACATAGGAAATCTATTCCCAGATAATACTTTAGAAGATTTACGAAAGACTCTCTGAAAAGTACTTTTATTGAAGTGTTCGTTGCAACATAAACTTGTCTTAAACATTGACAGCAGGAAGACAGGGATAAAACTGTTTTTTGTAGAAAGTTCCCTGAAGGGCTAATCTTTCAAACAGAATCACAGAATACTTATTAATTTGGGGAAAAAAAAAAAGCTGTCTTGGCATTGAACATTATTTTTATGATGAAGGAGCAAAACACCTAACGGGTTCAATCCTGCAAAATCTTACACCCATGCACAGCGTGACTCCTGAATAATTCCTCTGATGCCGTTGTGCCTATGCAGATGCAGGCAGTGATGTGCGCGGGGAGTTAGCACCTTGGTGCTAGCTCCCAGACGCTAAGCATGCCTATGCTCCTCGCTGGCACTGCTCAAGCGAGGAGAGCTGAAACCGCGTGTTTGAAGCACAAGAAATCACAAGTGATAACTTCATTAATGGCTCCTGTTCCTAGTGCAGGACTAAACCCGTTTCACGATGGGAGGAGAACTACTTTTAATCTGTTTGAGCAAGACTGACACTTCCCATCTCAAAAGATGCATTAACACTCCAGAAAAAGCACTAGTAATGCAAACATCAGCACACTGAACCTCTTGACAGTAATCTGTGCCTGTGCTATGACCACGGGTCTTTTGGCTAAGCATCCTGAAAATGAAACGGGAAAGGCACATGTTCACACACAGGGGCAAAACATGCTGAAAACAAAACAGCGCAGGTATACATTTCACTAGGGGGACTGACTCGATGAGGACCTTAAAGAGCTACCACAGTACAATGATAATTAATATTAAACTTCAAGAAGGTTTGATCCTAGCTCTAAAACAGTCAGTAGGGCAGTTGCTAATTATTCCAAGGATCAATCTCTTGTCTTATACTCTTGTATTTCCTCATTGAGCTAGTCTATGCCAGATAGTGTGAATTAGCCATCTATTTAAAGGTATCCAAAAGGCACTTGAACAGAAGAATAAGAAGGGGAGAAGGAGAACCCTGCCTTAAAACTATTTCTGCCCTTCCCTTATTTCTTCTTTTGATGCTGACTCTTTTTGAGGAGGATCCGTGTTTTTTCTTCGGGTTTTGATCAGTGCCCATTACAATACGTCAAATGAAGCCCTCAGACGTTAACCACATTGCAAGAAGGAGTTTTTGGCCATGAAAACAAAGCCGACATAACTCCTAGGTTGCTGTCTTTAATCACAGCTTCTCTGCATGCGCTTTTTGTTTATTTACTTCCCTGAGCCGCCTTCCAGAGATCAGAAGTCAGCAAGATTTCAGTCAAACTATTTATACGAGGGCAGCATGCAGGATTTGGTCCCTCTACTCACACACACACACACACACACACCCCCACCATGCTTCCATTTCTTGCATTTCACTTCTCATTTCTGGCTCTGTAATAAGCAAGTTCTTAACCCTGGGCTAAGCCACCTGGAGAGGATCTGTGTGCCTGCACAGAGCCTTCCACGAAAAGTTTCTTTGAAGCCAGAGAGGCATCCACGTTATTTCCATATCTCCGGCTCTGACTCAGCAAAGTCATTCGACATGTGCTTCAGCCTTACTGGACTTGGGGATTTAAGTAGGCACTGAAGTGCTGGGCTGAATACGATGAAGTGTGGGTCTCCACTGAAGTGCCCTCCTACAGCCCAGTGCTGTAGCCTCAGTTTCCCCGATGCTGAAAGGAGTCAGTCATTAATTACATTAACAGAATGATTTTAGAAATTAATTTTCTACAGCATTTTGTTTCTGCATAGAAAAGGAGGGGGAATTTACTTTATTTTTTTTCCTAATGTCTCAGAAAATGTCATAATTTCTTAACAACAAAAAAACCCCTCTGTGCTGTAAAACTGATCCATACTTTGCCTGCTGTCTAAAAGGCAACTGAAAGCAAGAATAAAATTATTGGTTAGCAAATGCTGCATGTGTTATCAAGTAATAACGTAATTTCAGGCATAAACAGCACTGAACTGTAATATAGTATTTCTACTTGGACTTGACTGGTGGTGCTTGGATTGCTTTAATTGTGAGGTGAAATACCAGGGGAGCAAACTCAAGAGACAAATCAATTTTTTTTAAAAGCTTTCCTATCTGAATTGAGGCAAACTTTATTTAAA